TACATACCCAACGACTCTTTGTAACATTCTGTACAGTTTATTACATGTAACATTATTCACGCGCGCTTATCAACGCCCGTTATCGTGTATGGGCGATTATTTATTCTTTATTTAATGTATAAAGCAATCTTAAAACTATATTACTTGCGACTTGACAAATTTTACTTGCATACACGCGTATATACAATACACATACACACATTTCTCTCGCACTTTTGAAATTTTTGAATAAGTCTAACACATAGGGACACTCGATTTTCCGAATAAATTGTGTGTAATTTCATATTAAGGATATCGAAGAGTAATCAATATTGCGCTTGATCATGCGATAATTTATGATTGCTCAATGTATAAGCTAAGTTATAGTTATAGCCATAAATCCATGGTTCAATTTATGATATTCTGTAATGTATTTTTTTTAACGAGGTTATTCGATTTTATCAAAGTTCTGTGTTTATCTTCAGTTTATTGATTAATTAATACAATTATTATTACCATCATAAAATTGATGTTGTTATTAGCCACACACTTTAATCAGCTGCACGATACAAATAAATATAGATGACGTGCCTAATAAATTCGTGAATGTTCTCAAGAGCTAAACGAACGTTTTGATCGATACGATCTGCATGGCGATTTGCATTCGATTCGAAAGCTTTTCCTGATAATTTCCATTTAAATGACTCTCGATTCAGATTTGTTCTTTACTCTACCTCATTTCGAAATCAAACGGAAGTGTCCCTAAACACGGGCTGTTACCGACTTCAATTTTGCATCGACATTAACAGAAAAAAAGAAGAAATGGGGAGGCTTTGTTAGTTAAAATCAATTTCAAGCTTTTTCGTCGAATTCAACATTTTTCGCTGTTAGATCGGAAAATATGTCCTCCATTTCTGCTCTCCCTTTTATAGTATAGCGAAATTTCAAAGTAGACACGACTAATCGGTACGGACACGTAGGTACGTTTTACAATTTAATACTAACTGGTAATTCGTAAATGTCATAGGAAAATCTGTGTGTGTAGAGAAGACCTTAGGGCAATCGAATGGCCGTACCTTAACCCTTAAGAAATCGGGATCCTTGAAAATTTCTCACAATATTTATTCAAATTTAACATAGCACAGCTTATGTTTCCACAAACAAATGGAATTTATTAACAAAAGAAAAAAAACAAGTTAAAATTATTATATCAAAAATTGTTACAAAAATAAATGTTTTGTGAATTTAGAAGTGTTTTTTTTTTTATTTCTGAAATGTAATGTTTATATGTGATTGTTTATATGTATCTTGCAAAAAATTATTCATGCTAAATAATGCAGATTCCGATTGTCATCGACTGCTTAAGGGTCACGAGTAAAACGGAGATCATTCGTTCGTAACCACGCTGTACTTGTCGAATCGAAATTGCTGAGAACTGCAGTATATATTGCTTTACAAATATTGTGTTCCGATTGGATCTGGTTCAACAGTGCGAACGGGATACTGTATCCTGGCGATGGAAAGCGATCGACGCTGCCGGACGATAAATCCGCGCATGACGTCACCTCCCAACGGTACTCGACACGGTAGTTGTTCGGCAAACTATTTTCGATAACTCGTAACACCACGCCGGACAATTATTACGCAAAAGAGACGGCTACCGCAGCGTTTTTTTCCCCCCGATAACCCGTTATCCGCGAACAGGGGAATTTCCGCCGTGGAGTTACTGGATATTTCCGAGAAATTTGTTTGTTTAAAATGGAGTGCTTGTATCTACGACAAGTTTATACTGCGTTACGTCATATTTAAAATGTTTCACCTGAAAATGCGATCGCAAAGCAAAGCGGAAATTTTTCCGGAAGTCAAATATTTCACGTTCTCTTTAACGTTAGACTTAATGAATGAAATCGTTTATTGAAATACAGAGTGTCGATTATCGATGGAATCCGACAGCATCGTATTGTTATTTGGCACATCGTTCGACGCGAGTTTTTCTCGAAATGAAACTCCCACGTGCAATAACAGCATCCCCATGAAACACACATAGCCGCAGTCAAAAGCGACTAATTTTGCGGATCCTCGATCGATTCCGCTATAATCCGATTCTTTTCTTTCTTCAATCCTCTATCTCTCTGTCTGTCTCTTTACTGCGTGGACATGCATGTTAGGATCAGCTGAATATTGGACGATTTTTAACTTCACGTCAAATGGCTTCGTAGTAGTCGTGCGAAGACAACGCGATATATGCGTTGTCGCTCGAGGAGTTGATGCACGTCGTCGACAACGTTGAGGATCTTGGTGATCTCTTAGTGCGAATCGTCGGCGACGTGAATGGGTGCTAAAGAACCGCCGGTGATATGA